CCAATCCACGCGCCGCGGTCACCGGCTTTTCGGTGCGCTGCTCCGTGACGTATCGATTATTGACGCTAGCGTGCGCTATTCGATTTCGAGATTTTATGAGGATTACACACAGTTTGGCCCCGTCTCTCGGCGGTGGGTAAAAATAGACACCCGCCCGGAGAGAATGTTACATGCGGCGTTCAGGATCAGTCTGATCACAAGGTATCTTTGAGTTCAGCTCGACGAGCTTTCAAGCCGGGCACGAGGTTCTTTATATAGATGAGCAACGCGAAGACATTCGAGTGTTGGGACGTGTAATTTCGAAGATCCAAGACACACGACTGTCTAAAGTTCACGAAGGCGAGACAGTCTCAAGGTTCAACGCTACAGAGCCTTTAAAGAGCCAACGGACTGAAGAATCCGCCATACTTCGGTGACAACGACGTCTTCCACCGTTTGAAAAAGTTTCCGAAAGAAGATAATCAGAACGAATTGATACTCCCATCGCTCGTGCGAGAGAATTATCGACAGATAGATATTTTGATCTTATAACTGATTAGCCTGGTTAACGCCGATTCTATCCGCGTGAGAGCTTATTGGCTAGAAAAAATAGACGCAACGAGAATATCGCGCACGAGGATATCGATCCTCGCTCCTAACCGCCTTTGCGGCTACTTTGCCTCATGATTAATCGAGCAATCGCCATCCTTAATTTAAGCACTGAGCTCTGCAATAATATTATTCGTTACCTTCCTCGTGCGGATCGATCCGAGATATTATTGCCGTATCGATTTCAACAAATAGTCGGGCCGGTTGCACGTCGAGAAAGAGGGCTATCGATTCTTTTACCTCGCAATTCCAATTCTCGTGTCCAATAACCCAATCTCTTAATGAATCTACACAACAGTCTATCGTTTTTTTCGCCACGGCACCGACGCGCTCGGCGACATCGTGTTACTTTTAACTGGATTATTGTGCGATTATTTCATCGAGTCGCGCCTTGCCGAATATAATTACCATGCAAAACAGCGTATAATGACGCAAAATTACTATAATACTTTCGAAACAACCCGGTATTTCTACAATGAGCATGCACTTCTTTATTCCGTCGGGGATGTAATTTAGCGAAATTAATGCACGCCTGAGTAATTACAGGCGCATGCGAGGCCATTGTAAACCGGCACACACACGGCCAGAATACGATTACGAAGTACGCCGTAAGTAATATCTCCGGTGAGGCCCGCGGCATCATGGCGTAACGGAAGATTTCCCGACGGGGTTGCCCTCTTCTCTCGCGGAAAGACGGAATCAACCGCGAGCATTCGCTTTATCGTTGCGGCCCGCTCTCACCATATGTCTCTTCTGTAAACGGATCAGTCCCTTCTAAACAGCAATTTTCGCAATCCTTTCCTCATCCTTTGCCCGCGATATCGCGCTGCAACTTGCAACCGATGCTCCTCATCGACTTGTATCTCCTCGAATCGAGCAACGCACGACGCGAAAGTAACGCGTCAATTTCGCGGATCGACAATTTCTGAGATTGTTGAGGCACGCATTACGTCGACAAAACATTTTTCAGTCTCGGTGACAGCCTGTCACGCGTCCGATTCGCAAAACTGTTACGCGCGCCGGCAGAATTCAACGAATTTGTCGGCGTGACGGTGACTTTTTCTTTTTTTTCTTTTTTGCCATGAGATACAAACCCTTATCTCGGGCTTTCACAGTCGACAGATTACATATTTGCTCGCGTGAACCTGACAAACAATAGCTTTTTTTCACATCTTTATTCTCGCGACGCGAAAGCTTCGTCCTTCTCGTCATTGCGTTCACAAGAAAGATATATCGAGCGGTTGAAGAGGAGCGCGGGGGTCTCTTGCTATTAGAGGAACTTGTTACTGATAGCGAGTGGTATCGTCATACGCGAGATATCGATCTTTTCCATGTATCCGTGAAATTTATTGTACCGCGAAATTTCCCTTTTTTTTTCTTTTTCCAACGTGCAATCGTCAGAGTACGTTGACGTGTTCGTTTGATTGTCAACTTGTCGAGTTTTATAAAATGGGTCACGCTGGAAATGGATGACTCGAAGTGTCCACTCCTGGAAGCGGTATCGCGATATCGCGCGCCTCTAACGACCGCCTGTTTCTCCTCGACGTCGACGTCGTCGTCGTCGCCGTACGCGCGCGCGATTTGCCGGGTCGTCATGACGACGTAAACTCAAAAATACACGCCTAGCGGAATAGATTATTGCACGTTACGTAGTCGTAGCTAAAGTCGTAGCTAAAGGCGCGCGGACAACGCGTCGCCGATAGAACGATGCGCGATATCCTTTTTCACGGCGCGTTTAGCGCAAACGGTCCGTCCAATCTCGACTTGAACTCGTTGGGAAATGAAATAGAGAACGCTAATTCCATGGAGAATCCTCATCTACTGACTGACTCAAAATCATTAGAGAACACGCCGATAAAATTAAGATATCGCGGTCTTCACGGAGCGTTCAGCTGAACGCGCGGTGAAAATGCGATTCGCAGTCCGTTCAAAGTCCGCTTGTCTATTTCAGACATCTTATATACGGCGACAAAGTTCCGATATAATTTTGTCGCGTGACCTATCTTTCTCTCTTTCTCTTAAATTCAATTCCACTTTTCGCTGCTTCTGTGAACGCCAGAGAGAATTCGACATATCTTCGCGATGCGCGCGGCCAAGGAAAACTACAGCACAGCCGCACACTATTGTGCGAAACTCAAGCGAAAGGAGACTCAGCGAACCGAGATCGCGAAAACTTTCGACAGTTCACGCGGAGATTTACGAATTGCCCTGCGAAAAATCCCAAGAAAAATGGAAAGACATTGCTCATTTCTCGCAGGTACACTGAGAAACTCCGCCTTCCTGGGAGACAGGCGCGAATTAAGTTATTAAAAGACGCTCAGGTACCCCGTGAAGTTAACGCATTTCCCGTCAGCCGCAGGTGCCTCGAGAGATGTAAAGTTCACTTTGTCTCTCAGGGAGAGTTTAAAGTTCAATAAATGATGTAACTCACATTAATCACGGAATTGCTTCGCCCGTCTCAACTATTTTGTACTTGTTGCCTGGGAAATTTCGCAAGTAATTTGTTCATAGAAGTATACGTGCAAAGAAATATTTCCGATCTAAATGCAACGTGTAATATCTCGAGTTTGCTTTCCTCATGTTGTATTTTTATATTCTCTGAATTTCTTGCAGTGAAAATTAGCAGTATTTTCACATTCGAGGCAATAGTGAGAATACTGCTACACAAAACCACAAAAATTAATATTTCACTCCTAAAGTGGATTCTGACTCCATATAAACGAATGTTTCAACTGATTAAAGAGAATATGTTCGTTTGACAGTGGAATTCATCAAAGTCGCTTTTCAATTGCGAGTAAAGATATTCACTCAATAAGTTAGAGTGGAAAATTCACTCTATAGGAGTGTAAAGTAATTCGAATTCGAGTGACTCCACTGACTCCAATCTACTTTTCAAGTGAAATTTCGAGAGTACAAGTATCTGTATATGTTTTCATATACCTAATCACGTCTCTCTAGATTGAATACCCTAGACAAGAATCTCAGCAGGAAAACTTCAACTTGATGTACGATGTTATCGCGCATACAGCCCTATTTCCGGTGTTAAGCCTTCGACGGACATTGGTTCTCTTTTGACACGCGGCAAATTAATGCCAGAATAAGCTTATGTCGGTCTTTCTTGGGGGGAGAGTCGGGGGAGGGTGACGGTAAGTCACGCATCTATACCGGTAACTCGCGATGCTATCAGGCTACATTTCATAAGGCTGAATCACACCACGCGTGTTTACTAGCAACTAGCACGCTAGTCCGTCGCTAAAAAGCATCATGTAATTTAGACGGTTGGCAAATTAACTCGCTTTCCGAGCACAATATGCGGAATACAGCAGAACTGTCGTCGTCGCTTTCATCTAAAAGACCTTTTCATCAATTTCATGCGAAGTTTTCATTTAAAATGACAATTTAATAATGTATTGCCCTACGTCCATATTAATAATCCTTACTTGAGAAGTGTCTCATTTGAGATATTCAAATCTGAATTTCAAGTTATATCAGAGTTTTTTATTTGCATCACATGATGTTTGCGATGTTATATTTTTGATTGCCATTCGACTGAAAAACTCATATCTAACTCTGATTTCTTCAAATCTTAGTATCTTACATGAGACAAATTAACGACTATTAATGCCGGCTCTAAACTTGTTAATATTTGCATTCAAAACAATTCCACGAGATAGATTTTCGATGTTGAAAAGTAAACTGATTTTTCTAGCTCAGTTCCATCATAAAATTAATGGAAAGAAAAAATCTTAAGATTTAACATTGAGAGAAGATAGAATCCCTTATCTAAAAATTCAGAAAGCCGATTAAGCAGTAATATCCAAGAAAAAGTTCAAAGATCCGCTCACCTAAGAAACTAACATTCCTCTCTTCGAGATATTTTCAGAGAGAGGAAATTTCTACAAAATGAAAACTCGGCGAAATTTTATTTGTCGGTTTTTTCCCAGATTTCAATACTAGATATTCTCACGACTGAGATTGCCGGCAGATCGATAGAGAGTCACACCAGAAGTTATTCCTAGTCGAAAATTGCACGTATGCATGTAAAATTACCCGTATAAGTTGGCCTGAATGTGAAAAGGGATATTTTTCGACATCTGATAACTCTTTCTTCTCCCGAATGAAATTACCGGCTCCCGTTTCCTGCGCTAGGTCACCCACTGCACCCTAACTAGTAACAAAGCATCATATAAACCAGGCTGTAGGCAGAGCGCGAAGGTGGGTCACTGCCCTGGTCGTGATATCGAGATACGAGCGCGGATAGGACACACGCGAGGCACTAAAGGCGAATTTACTCCGGGCACGCTGCAATCCGGCGCATGCATTCCAAACTGCATATATGCACTCGCGTGACTCTGCAGTCCGCAATAAGTGAATTCGCGTTCTATTCGTTCGCCCTGAAAGCCACCGCTCGGCCGGCGAACTCACCCCGTCCGGAGTGCGTTCAAGCACATCGATATACATAGTTTCGCCGTAAGTTATGTCTTTGAACGCAAATCATATAACGGGACTCTATGTTTGCAGATTCAAGATTCAACAGGGCGCTTGAGGCCAAATCCGAGTCGAAATTAATGTTTGTTTAACATTAATCCCGCTAATTCCGTCGGACTTGAAGGACTACTGGAGGATCTCGGAGATATACCGACTCTAAATTTTGGTTCTATCTAAGTTTTATTTTCATCCTGCAAATACTGTTGATACTTGAGGGATTATATAAGCTATTGTCCTACTATGATGCTGCAAGTAAACTTATTGCCGTTTTTTCTATGTAAAAAATTGTGTGAAGAAGCTTTATTCAAGAATTATTTAATATTTGATTATTTGAAATTTTCTAAAAGATAATATATATATTTTTTTTGTTACAGGCCAATGTGAATTTGCGGAAATTTGCATGTGGATTACAGGTCAATGTGAAACTGCGGAAATTTGCATGTGGATTTCTCAAGGATTTCTTACGTGAAACCAAATTTCAACGCGGGAAGGAGCATTATTAGACATGTCAACATTTTGCGAGAATTTATAAAGCTACAATTATTTTATTGGTGATATAGACTAAATTTCGACTGAAGCATCTCCGCATTTTCGACAAGTTCATCAAACGTCCTTATTCAGATCGGAAATCTGTATAATAATTTTGTAAATAATTTTACATACCTCGAAATGATGTATCACTGCTAGCGTCCTGATCCTTCGATTTGGCTTTCCCGATAAAGCTCCTGGTTTCCGGCTTCTAATTACCTTGCCGCGGCACTCCGGATATTCCCTCATGGCACTCACACGGATACGAATCGATCTACGAAACTCGTGTTAACAAACGCGATGCCGACGAGGGCTCGGTTAAATATTTTAAGATGACAATTAGCGGACCGATACATGTACGTCGCGTCACGATATGCTCCTCGTTCGTCGGCTCGAAACACTAAGGCTCAGTTGCGGAACAACACGGAACAACGGACGAGAGTGTGAAAACAATGAGATGTAAACAAAAGGACTAAGTCGTCTAACGTCGATTACCAACCGTCATCGCCTTATTGTCGAAAGCTCGAGAGATGACAACAGTCAACACTCCCGAAATATTACGAACCTTCAAGGAAGAACTATCGTGTGTTGTGCGCTTATCCGGATGTTTACACCATACGTTCCGAGCTGGCGAGCAATGTACATACCGCGGTGTACGCATATCAATGCGTCAGCATTGTTCGGGTCATTAGAATATTCTGTGGACTCTTGATGTAATTAACCGCGTTGGCACCGCGCTAATTAACACGTGTTTCTCCGATCGAATCGTATTTACGCCCGTGTCAATGCTGTGTGAATGAATATCCGGGATGACGGAGTAATCAAAAGCCCAGGATGCTGAATCTGAAAGCTTGGACGGAAGACGCAGAATGTCGGGATACGGGCAGCGATACATGATATGTTATCAGGTGTATAAATTCATTCATTATAGAGGTTTCCGATTTCAATTGACGTCTGATGAATTCACCGGGAATACAGAGATACCCAAGTTGAAATTTAGACCAGTATTCCTAGTATGTCATCATTTAATAAGTTATAAATTGACGTGGTTACGGTTTCATGAATCTCCGATTATTTATCGACCTGTATTTATTTGTATTTATTTCACGCAAGAAAAAAATATTAATCTACATAGTCGTATAATTATCTATGAATATGAATTTGTAATTAATTATGTTCTTGATCAAAGATTATAAATAATTTACAATTATGCATACCGATCTTTGAATGAAATACAAATTTTGTAAATATCGTTTTCTTTAAATAACCCTTCAATAACCCTTCTTGTTTCGCAACGCGGAATCGATAGTTTTTGATTAGATTCTTTTCACAATTAAAAAAACGCTTTCAAAAAGTCAAACTTTTTCTTGAAAACTGTCGTACTGAATTTAAGAATATATGTGTGACTCTGAAGAATATCTATACATCTATCTATACATTTGATATAAATAGGCGATAATAAAAAATCTGAACAAAAATTTACTGTAACGGAATTTCTTCCATTTATGAAACGGCACGATTCGTGATTTACTTCGCGTATTTTACGTGCTAATTTATTATTCATTATCTATTTCCAGCAATAATTTATGCACGCATCTTAAAATCCCGATGAATTAAATTAAATTAAATGCTAATTTGTAATTATTTATACTGTATAGTATATCTTCATTACCCTATTATTATAATTCATGTTACACACAATACTCTAAATTGATTGTTGAAATCCGATAGCTTAACTAATTATATCTTCCGCGTGATAATTTTAATTGTATTAATTATCATGAAACGAAATGATAATGATTCAATAATTTTGAATAAAATTCGGCTTAATTTGACATAAATACGTAAAGAAAAATCAAACTCAAGAAACGACCAAATTAAAATCAAGTTGTCCACGATTTATCTTTAATACTTTCTTTACGCGTCTCCCACATGTTTCCAGTCCCATTCATGTTTATGCGTATCTTTCCTGAATCCAATAAAACACATTACTTCTAACTGCATGGAATGTTGTAACAAAAACTTGTTAGTTTATAAAAACGCGATCGCGTGAAGTTTTTTAATCCTATATGATCGTACAGACAGAAGCTAAACGAACAATCAAGATAAGTAAAAAGAAAAACATGCTTTTAATCAATTAGCACCTGAAAGGATTAATCTATTGAGCATTTTACAGACCGATATAAGTATAATATCGTTGCACATGAACAACTATACGTGAAACGTTAGCAATTCTACATGAAATCGTGTGTGGAGTCCAATGGCCTTTTAAAAAGAAATATTAAGACTTCATTTTTCATAGCTTGAATAACTTTTTTTCAGCAGCAAATCTGCGACTATATTTTCTTGCAAACTTGACTGAAACTTATTTATCGTTCCTAACATCGAATGACATCCATTGTATTGTCATATCGCGGTTAATCTATCATTATCGAGCGGCGGTTTGTTAATTAGTAACGAGACACGCGAAAGCGTAATGCTATGTTTCATCCTACAATGCAAATGCATTTTACTGCTTGTAACTTGGGCATATTAAGTATGTTATTTGTATTATTTATATTAAAAGTAGTAAAATGTACAAGTCGTCATGAAATATAAATTAATAAAATGGTTCATTTCGATGCCCAAAATCGCGATCAGTCATAATTGGATATCGCCATAATATAATGACGTTACGCATGGTAATCACGACACATTAACGTTGTGGATTATTTATAGCATAATCAAAGAATTCTATCTAACACATCCTCTCTAAGATATAAAATTAAAATATTACTGTTGTATATCGAAACTTAGATTTGCTTGCTGACAAGAAATAACTGTTCTTTAGTGTTTCCATTCTAATGACTGACAATTAAATATTTATATAAATAATAATCACATATTTTTCTAATAAACTTTACACGATTAGGGTTGGTTAGAATACATTTTATTTATCAAATTCAGAGGATGCTTTAGAGAGAATGTGAAACATGAAATTCATATTATTAGCATTAAAATTCAGTGCATTTAATGATTATAGAACGATAAATGTCAATTTACATGGAATTAATATTACCTGCCGTTGTATAAATTACCTACCGTTGTATCAGAACGATATATACTAAGATTCAATAAAGCTTAATAAAACATTTACTAGACTAAAGCTCATTGGTCTTTCTGTTTCATATAATATTATATGATGACACTTGAATTTGTCAAAATAATAAATTAACCGAATAATTAAAATAATACTGTATACTCATATCCAGGTGTAATGAGAACGATTAAACAAAACTAGTGAATTTAGGCGTAGGAAATGTTAAAACTTTATTGAAACTTTGTTATACAGGTTATACAGATTTGCTGAAGAAATTATTCTCAACTTGAGAGTTTCAACTCTCATAATTTTACATTTTTGATAATGCTTGACTGCAATTGACTTGTTCATTTTGAATTAGAGAGAATTTGAAACTTTCAATTCATTCTATTAGCATTAAAATTGATTTGTTACACTTAACGAGTATGGAATGTTGAATATCAATTGCATAGAATTAATATTATCTCCTATTGTTGTGTTTTGTATAAAATATCCAGAACAATGTATATACTAAGATTCAATAAAGTCTAATAAAGCATTTACTAGACCAAAACTCATTCACTTTTCTGTTTTATATATTATATCATGACAATTAAATAATAAATTAATCAAATAATTAAATAATATTGCATATTTATGAGGTATAACGCAAACAATTGGAAAACCTAAGTGAGTTGAGGCGTAGAAAATGTTAAAATTTTATTAAAACTTTAGTTATAAACGTCGAAAAAATTAATTTCTAAAAAATTAACTGCACCTGAGTTTCAACTCTAGTAGTCTCACGTTTTCGATAATGTGACTGATTTATTCTCATTATGGATTCATTTTCATTATGGATCTCTGTTTGCGTTCTTTTTTGCGTACTACTGAGTACGAGTTTTAAATACATGCCTACTTACATGCACAGGTGAAAATCGTGACTAACCTTAGTAATATAAATGTGTAGCCCAACGCGCCGGCCGTACGGAAGATGAGTCGTTGTCAAGAAACATCGTTAAATCACTGTAAAGCAACCAACAATTGGTTAATCGGTGGTCAGACGAGTAATGAATGAGTTTTCTTACCGATCGATGGAACGTCGACGCGTCTTGCCGAATTTCGTCGTTGAACCAAGCATACGTCTCCATAATTACATCGGTCAGGGAATCTATATAGATAATCAGAAGCGTACACATTGATTAACGCTACATAATGCCATTTGTCGCTCAATATGGCTTTCCGCTTGCTTATTTTACACACGATTACTCACTTTGGCGACGTAGAACGAAGCACGTAGAACGTCCCGCGACGATTTCCCGCTATTTCAATATCTTGACTTATTTTGGCGCGCGCATGCGCGATATACTACGTCACTCGATGTATGTATCAACTGTGCGATGCATTTTGTATTGGTAAACATACGTGTACCGTCTTGCGGCACAAGATATAGCAACCGCAAATCCGAGCAATACTCCCGTGTTAACTGATCACACAGCTTAATTAATTCGAGGTCCGCACGACGCTCTCGGTATTGAATCACAGTAAATAATACGATATGGTCGATGAGCAAGTGCATTGCATAAAAGCAAGATACTGTATGTATCGTCTCATTGGCTACGGATTATCTGAACTTAAGATAATTATAAATATATGATTAG